CTAAATTATCTTGCTAATGTTCTTATCGGTTACACTAGGAAAAGTTATATTTCTAATTGTTGAATAAATGCTTCATTCCCACCCAACCTCATGCAACCCTCTTTCCCTCCCCCATTCTATTTCTTTCTTTCTAAGGGCAAACAGAACTGACCCTAGCACATCTAGATGTGATCACATTCCTGAATAATCCATAGTGTGGGAAGAACTTCCTAGGATCTGCATGGAGAAGTGTTACAGGGCAGGGAGAGGGGCTCCCCAGAACCCCCAAACCTGCCCGCTCTAAATAGGTTCTGCCAATGTATGCATCAAGGCAAGCATACTCTGGTGTATAAGACCTATAATGGAAAAGAACTCTAATACAATTAGTGTGCAATAAAAAAGGGTAAGAACAAGGTGTCCAAATCAAGCACCCAAAGTTATCCCACCTCTCATGAGCAAATGCCCAGCCATACAGTTTTGGCCAAAAGCAGGGCTTCACAACTCACAGCATTGCAGGTTGAAGTTCTGTGACTCCAATTTTCATGGAGATTTATGGAATAGAGTTAGGGCCCCCAGCACTTGACCTGTGAGGTCCAGGAATGACCTGGTGGCATTGCCTCCAGGCTAGCCTTGGATGAATGAGGGATCCTCTGACCTTTGCGTGATGCTATAGCTTACAGCTAACAACAGTCATGGTTTCTAAGTGGTCTCAGTCAGCACTCCTGAGCTCGGGACACTTTCTTCACAATTCAATGTAGTCCTATGTCAGATATATCTATTTCAGTCCTTGTTTCTGCCTACCTACAAGCTGTGTGCCTATGCATGTTGATTGCACGTACACACACACACACACACCTACCCCTTAATTGTCACCCTCCATTCCACTTCAAAAGAGCACCATTTTGGGGGTAGGATTTCATTCAATATTTACAATTTTGGAATCCCCTGTTCTACTTTTCCATCTTTAGGATAAATGCAGGTCTATCACTTTATATATGAGACTCTTGGAAACTGCTGTGTTGAGGATTCATACTGTTTCAGATTTTTGAAGCACATCATGATGCATACACTGTAAATGAGACAACCCCAGCAGAGTCTGTAGCTGCATATTTATTCACACCAAGTGGGAGAAACCAAAACCATAAATAGCTTCACATCAGTTTGAAATCGGTTTTTCCTCTAAGTGAGTCTGCTATAAAGTTATGAAAAGAAAAAAAAGTTTTGAGAGTTTTTCATATTTTGAAAGTAAGGATTAGGGATTGTTAATCTGTTTTGCAAATTCTAGAAATAATTGTTGTTATGAAATGAAATGCTGTGTAAATTCTAAAAGTGATTAATAGAAGAATGGAATATTTCAGATAATTTGACTCTGTTGTTTAAAATGACTTATTTTATTTTTTAACTTTGGAAAATACATAAAGGTAATTTTGTAGGTAATACAAAAGATAGTCACTCAAGTAAACAACTGATAACAAGTCAGAAAAATGAAGCAAATTAAATGTGGATGCAAATGTGTTTATGTGGGAATGGAGGAGAAAGAAAGCCTGAATTAGAGGGAAAACGGATAAAGAAAAAAATATTTTTGAAATGGAAATTATTAGAGGGAAGATGAACATGGAGAAAAATCCTCTTTATAATTCTGAGTCAAGAAATTTCCTTATATATTATTTTCAAACACACGTTATAAATCCATGAAAATAAGTTCAAGTAAAGGTAAAAGATCACCAGCCTAGTCGTCCCTACTATTTATTCTGGTTTTAAATTTTTCAGTTCTTAACTGTTTTCGACTGTTTTTTTTTTTTAAGATTTATTTATTTGTGCATACAGAACTGGGGTACAGGCCAGAGGCTCAGGGGTGGCGAGAGGCTTCACCAGAGACAGAGTGGGGAGCAGAACAGGCAGATCGATGAAGTACACTGCTGAGGGGAGCAGCGGGCGGGTCAGGAGAGGTCTGCCGCGCCATGTGGTCTCCTCCAGGGCAGGAGGCAGGCAGGAATCGAACTCATGTGGAAGTGGCTTCAGATTCTCAGTGCTGCGCTTTAACCCGCTGCGCCACCAGAGAGGGCCTCGACTGGTTTTAGGAAGAAGCATTTAGACTTCTTTATCCTTGGTTGGGAGGTAGGATAGCTTGTTGGAGGCTGAAGATAATGGAGCTCAGATAGACATTCTTTGCTAAGGGCCCTTTAGTAATAATCATGATTAAGACGTAGGAGAAATTTGCTAGTACCCTAATTTCCAAATGTAAGAAAAACATGTGTTTTTATTGTATGTTGGGTTAGTTCTCGTTCTTATTTGACACTAATTTCATTTCATTGTTTCTTACATTCAAAATGTTGCTTAAAAATGTAGTCAGTCCTGGGCCCTCCCTGGTGGCGCAGCGGGTTAAAGCACAGCACTGAGAATCTAAGGCCGCTTCCGCATGAGTTCGATTCCCGCCTGCCCCGGAAGGGACCACATGGCGTGGCAGACCTCTCCTGACCCGCCCGCTGCTCCCCTCAGCAGTGTACTTCGTCGATCTGCCTGTTCTGTTCCCCACTCTGTCTCTGGTGAAGCCTCTCGCCGCTCCTGAACCTCTGGCCTATACCCCAGTTCTGTATGCACAAATAAATAAATCTTTAAAAAAAAAAAATGTAGTCAGTCCTGTGAAGAAATGTCATTAGAAGGAAAGAAATTATTGCATCAAAAAGACTAAACTCCCTAGGAGTAAATTTAATCTAGGAGGTGAAAGACCTGTGCACCGAAAACCATAAGACATTGATTAAAAGAAAAAAATATATAAACAAATAAATGAAAAGATGCTCTGTGCTCAGAATTAATACTGTTTAAATGTCCATACTACTCAAAGCAATCCATAGATTTTACATTTTACTCACATTTCAATAGTACTTTTTGCAGAAAGAGAAAAAAATGCCTAGTATCAAAGAGCCAAGACATTATTAAGAAGAATAAAGCTGAGATATCATACATCCTGAATGAAAAACATATTGCCAAGTTATAGTAATAAAAACAGCATGATTCACAGGTCTATGGAGCAGGACAGGGAGCCTAGAAATAAACACACACGTATATGGTCAATTAACATATGACAGAGGAACCAAAAATATACATTAGGGAAAGAGCTTCCTTTTCAGAAATGGTGCTTGTAAAAAAATTAAAACTGGACCACTCTTGGACACCATATACAAAATCAACTCAAAATATATAAATGATTTTAATGTAATCCAGAAACCATAAAGCTCCTAGAAGAAAACATAGGGGATAAATCTTGATGACAGTTTTTTTTTTATCTGAATCCAAAACCAAAGACAACAAAAGCAAAAGTGAACAAGTAAGACTATATCAAGCTAAAAAGCTTTGCACAGCAAAGGAAGTTACCAACAAAGTGGAAAGGCAAACTATGTGCAGAATGGGGAAATACTTATAAATCATTTATTAATATTGAAAATGTATGAAGAATTCACATAATACAGTAGCAAAAATAAACTGGTTAAAAAATGGGCAGAAGACTTGAACATTTTCCCAAAGTAAACACAGAGGTGGTGGTCAATAGATACATGAAAATATACTCAGCATCATTAATCATCAGGGAAATACAAATCAAAACCATAAGGAACTATCACTTTACAGCTGTTAGAATGGCAATTATCAAAAATAGATGAGAAATAGCAAATGTTGGTGAGGATGCAGAGAAAAGGAAACCCTGGTGCATCATTGGTGGGAATTTAAATTGGTACATCCACATTGGTAGAGTATAGAGGTTCCACAAAAGTTAAAAATGAACTACCGTATAATCCAGCAATTCTACTTGTAGGTATTTATCTAAAGTAAGCAAAACACTAATTTAAAAAGACATATACACCCCATTTTTATTGAAGCATTATTTATAATAGCCAAGATATGGAAGTAACCTAAGTGCTAACTGTCCATAGGTGGCTGATTGGGAAAAGAGAAATATCTCTCTCTCTCTCTCTTTCTCTCTCTCTCTCATACACACACACACACACACACACACACACACACACACACACACACAGATTGGATGTTAGACATTTTAAAAAAAGAATGAAATCTTGCCATTTTGATGACTTTTTTTTAGGGCATTATGATAAATAAGTCAGACAAAGAAGGACAAATACTGAATGATCTCACTTAGATGAGGAATCTCAAATATAAACTAACAAGAAACCAAACTCAATAGATACAAAGAACAGATTGGTGGTTGCCAGATCTGGAGGGTGGGGGTGGACAAAATGGGTGAAGGAGGTCAAATGGTACAATCCTCCATTATAAATAGGTCATGAGGATGTAATGTACAATAAGGTAACTACATAGTTAGCAATACTTATGTTAACTTACTAAATCTTCAAAATTTTCATAAGAAAAAATGTTTAAATATGTATGGTGATGGAAGTTATCCATCACTTATTGTGGTGATCACTTCCCCATATATAGATAGATAGATAGATAGATAGATAGGTAGATATACACAAACTAACTCATAGTGCCTTGTTATGTTATATACCTGAAACGACTGAAACTAATGTTATATGTCAGGCACACCACAAAAAAAGGGGGGGGGGGATTTGTTACTGACAAAAATATACAATTCTGCAGTGACCAGCTTGGTATTTCATTAAAAGAGGAAGTGTTTTTTTTTTTTTTCCATTGTTCAGATCTTACTATTTTGGATTTCTAACCACATTTTTCAGATGACCAGAGATCAGGGACACAATCACCTACAGTGATCTGTTCATTGAATTGCTATTCTATGAAACATGGAAAAACATAAGAGACACATAGCCAATAATCACAATCTTAACTAGTCAATTACTAAATTTCAAACTGACCATCTTGTAAGAATGACGGCAATGTTTTATGCGGCTGAATCCCTGGTCCTGAGCGCACAGTAGGTGCTCAATAAATACATATAGTTAGATTTTTTCCCCCCTAAGGTAGGCCTAGGCCTACATTTTTCAGGGGATAGGTCAGCTTAAGAAGGGATTCAGATCCAACTTGGCACAATGCAAAGCTTAATGAATAAAGATTTTAGCCAACAGACAATCAAAGAACAGCCTGGAAGTAAGTAAGGTTTACTTCAGATGTTGCAGGAGCCCTTATTCCCATTTCAGAGTTTGCATTCTCCTAGTATTCCTTCATAGGGGGGCGGAAAAGGGTGAGCCCAGAAACTGGAAATGGTTTGGGGGGGGAGAGGAGGGAAGTTAGTAAATAAGGAAAAGTGGGGGTTCCAGGGTCTGATACTGAGTCATTTCTGGGCTGAAGGGAGAGGACGAAATGCCTTTTGTCACTTTTCTCCCCCTTCTACCAAATCCCGGAGGAGCAGATCTCGGCGGGGCGGGAGTGAGGGGGTGGGGGAGTGTTACATCACCGAGAGAGAACCTCTCCACGCTCAAACCACCACAGACCAGGAATCCAAACCTGACGCCTTCTAGAAAAAAAGCCCACCCCAGCTACCTAAGAAAAGGAAGCCCACGTGACTTAGTGGTGGGGCGTGTTGGGGGCGGGAAACGAGGCGACCTCGGGGCTAGCGAGGTCGAGGCGGGCAGCCTGGAGGAATGGTCCCGCGCACCGGGTCCCGGGCGGAGGGTTAACCCCGCTCCCCGCGCGCTGCGCGGGCGGCTGCAGGGCGAGCTCTCTCGGC